CGTTGAAATCGATTTTCTGCAGTATTACATAGCTTTCCCTGTACTACGTATATTACTCCGTATATACGTACGTATAGGGAAAGTTAAAAGTAACCACAACGTTGATATGTACGAACGACGTAGAAATTATAAAGTACTTCAATAAAACTGGTATAAAAAAGCATTTACTAAGTGTACAAAAACGCCACAAATAAAAATAGTAGCCATGTGGTGGGTCATTGATACCGAAAAATTGATTGACGGCAAAACTTCTGTGAACAACGCTAGCAGCGAAACTGTTCAGCTGATTTTTTCCTAAATTGATATTTCTTGATCGCGGTCTGATGTCGCGGCCCCGAATCATCTATTTTAATTTTGGGGGAACTTTATATGAAGCCCCTAGAATACTTTCAAAGAAATGGCGCCACCGATTTTGAATACCTTTTTTTTTTGGATAGTCTGAACGACGCTGAAAAGAGAGGCGTAGGTCTCATGTGAGTTGAAAACTCTGATTTTTTCGAAAATTGGGGGAAAATATCCATTTTTTTGGCATATTTCTACAACTTAAATATTTGAGATAGAGATTTTTCCTGAATGATATCGGTTCCTTTAAGATTAATTTTGAAATAAGGTGAAGTACATTTTTTCGAAAATTTGAGTATTTTTCGCGTAATTTTGCCCGAAATATAGGCATTTTTACTTCTCCATAATGAGTTCTTTCATTGAGGTTATGTACATTTTTTGGAAATTTTACTAGTTTTCCCGTAATATTGTGTGTAATATTGTAACTCCTCCCGGCGCAGGGAAATGCGCGGTTAGCGTCCCGGTTATAGCTCAGTCGGTCCTATTCCCTTTACTCGTGTAAAACCTACCCAATTGTAACAATTTCCTTAACTTAAGATTCAGTGATGGAAGGCATCGTAAGTTAAAGCATGCATGGGCATTCAAAATAAACAATTCGATTACTGGTAAAAGACAACGTTTATTCCTGGACAGAGCTGTACCAGGGAAGTTACATTTAAAAAATAAAAGAAAGGACCAATATTGAATAAAAAGAAAATATTAAAGATTAAAATTAAAAAGAAAGCTTACAACAGAGAAGAGTACAAAATTATTTTATAGTTAGATTTACAGAGTTGTCCCTGAGGACCTTGCTTGTGCCTTGGCGCTGCACCTTTGACAATACTGCCCAAAAGGGTTTTTATTGCCCCGTTACAATGCCTGAGAGCCCTTTCGTGGCCAGATGTTCTTGTAGGGCCCGGGTAGGCGCGGTAGGCGACCTCGCAGGAATTCGTTCGGGCGCACGCCCCCCCACCAACAAACGGCTGCGGCGGTCAGTGGCGTCTAGCGGCGTCTGCAGCCTGACCGCTCCTCCGGCCGGCCCGTTGTTTCGTTCTGATGAGGGGCGGTCCTCGGTGTTTGGCCGTCCGCCCGTGACGCTCCGCAAAGAATCCGAATGTCGGTCTCGGAAGAGCTGCTTGCTGGGCGAAATTGATCAGCAAACTCGGCGACGTCGCCCCCGGATCGCAAGTCGGGAGCATACAACAAATGGTCTCCCTTTGCGTATGCGATCCTCTCGAATAAAAATTTCAGTAATGCGAAATTCCTGCAGCGAATACGCAGTGACAAAGGATTCGACAATTTACTTTTTGGAAGTGCTTTTGCACTCCTCTAAAATTCTCACTGAGGAATTCCGTGTCTGTCACCCCAGTGATTTCAACTAAACTGCTATTTAAACCAGTGCTTCAGAGGTGCTACTCGCCTTTCTCCCGAGCCTTGGCTCCCACTCCAGGAGGAAGTCTTCTCTGACCAACTGTAATTTTTAACAAAGTGCCTCGGAGGCGCACTCGCTCTCCCGCGAACTGGCTCCCACCCAGAGAAGTTCTCTCTCTCTCTACTGTTAATTTTGTTTCTTCCGTAAACGCACGAAAAGTTAACTTTTACCCCACCCTTTTTCCTCATATGTTCTTGCTCCCTACAACGATCGCGTCGCTATTGGGCTAAAAGTATGGCGTTGTACACTAAATTTGGCCAATAGGGCTCCGGCGGAGTATAGGAAATTTTCCAGTTCTCTGTTTTCGAAAGTAGGCCACGCTCTCTGAAGGGGCTTCCCGGCTACTGAAATTATGCTATCGGGTTTCCCCGATCACGTGACAGGCGTTTCGGAAGTATTCCAGATGTGGGCTGCCGCTGGGCACTTTTACAATCTACCCCTTCTTTGGCTGTTGGGTGAGGTGTCATAAACATTCGAAATGGATCAGGGGACTGTGGCTGTTGCAAGAAGGGGGGCTGCGCGCGTGACGCCGTATGTTTTTCTTCAGTAAAAAATTTCTTTGGTCTGCTTTACTCAATTTAATTTATCTGAATAATTCTGTACCGCTACAATATGTGCAATTTAAAAAAAATACAAAAACGGCATCAAATTTTATTCTTTAAACTTTTGGTAGAGATAGTGCCAAATGTTCTCTGTACGAAGACAAACGCCATATTGTTCTATTCTTATGATTTTTCAAAAATTACAAAAATGTAACTTTTTGACTTGTCTCTCACGTCAGTAATATTTACATTAGCGGCGATTTGTTCACATTATTATATCGTTGAGTACATGTGCTATTAATAATGTCACATAAAGTTTTCGAAAACTACCGTTGTTTGTGTGAAACTAGCTCAAACTTCCGCATTTTCCGCAAAACGCTTAACATACGCCATTTTCTCAAAATAGGCTCGAATTTTTGCTTCATACATTTCGAACGGATAGGGGTAATTACACTGTTCAATAGGAAGTTATGTTAATTAAGGTGTATTTTTTTTTAATAACACAAATGTAAATTTTTTGAAAGATCTCTCACGCCGTTGATATGCACATTTCCAGCAGTTCGTAAGCACTATTGTAATTGTGAGGTAAGGTTCTTAAAATGACTTCAATTGAACTTTTTCGAAAACTCAAAAATTTTCTATGAAAAAGAGCTTCAAATTTGGAATTTACAATATCGCTTAAACGCCAATTTTTTAAAAAGACTCCAATTTTTTTAAAAAAATGCCATTTAGGACGAGGTTGTACTGTTCTTTAATAATCTTAAAAATAATATTTCCGCCCTACAATTAGGAATCGAAAAATTAAGAAAATGTAAAAAATAAAAATAAAAAATCTTTGTGCGCCGATAGATGGCAATTGGCAAGAATATGTAACAAGTTCGAATAGCTAACCGAGACCAAAAGAAATAGAAAACTAATACGGGAAAGTCTATGTCATTCTATAGCACTAGTTTCAATTTCGTTTAAACATTTTTTTCTCAAAAACGGTTCCAACGTTTTTGATGAAATTTTGTTGGTGGATAGTTTAAAGGAAGTTTAAGAAAATGGTGCAGATCTCTTGTTGGTTGAAAGCCCTGATTTTTCGAGATTTGAAAAACATCAACATTTTTTCGGTGTCTTCCTACAACTGCAGTTAGAAGATACTTTTTTTTCCCCCTAATGAAATGTGTTCATATGTTCATATGTTCATCAAAAGCAGATTTTCAGATAAATTTCACGTTGAATTTTTCGAAAATATGAGTATTTTTGGAGTAATTTGGCATGAAATTTAGTCACTTGCCCTGAAATCTGCCCATTTTGATTGTAATTTTAGAGGTGTTTTGAGGCTATGTACGTTAGAATGTATATATTATTTCATATTTCTTAGTTCATTTCTTACATTGGAGCTTTTGTCATAGGTTCACAAAAGAATCTTTTAGAAATTATTTAAAATATATTTGAAGTAAATATGAAATAAAGAATTGAAAAGCCCTGCTAGCCGACGGTAGGTCATCACCGGATCTCTCCGTACAATGGCGGAAAGGCCACTGACACCGCCCAAGCAAAAAAATGCATTACTTTTATAGGACTAATGACATCAAAAGTTGACCTGCCTGGAATTAGCAGCAATCAATCAATCAATCAATCAATCAACCGAAAAAGCTCACATTGAGTGGCTGTGGTATTGAAAAAATGGATAATTCTTGTTCCTATATGTAGTAAATTACTCCTATCACGTTGTGTTGTCAGAATATACCTTTTATGGATCCATGATACCGAAAAGTTGGTTTACAACTAAACGTCTGTCCATCTGTGAAGAACGCTAGCCTTGTGTAAGCAGAATTTTCACTAATATTGATATTCCCGAATCCATCAGTTTAATATCGCTGACCCTTGATTTGCAGATGTTTTAATTTTTGAGGATATATTACATAAATCCTCAAGGACATTTTCAAATTTTTTGATCAAACTATGTCCTTGGATAGCGTAAACAGCACTTCAAAATTTAATGCTAGTATTTCCCTAGAAAAATCAGAAATTTTGAAAATTGCATAATTTAAATTGCATTTTCCTGCAATTACTGCAGTTGAAGATAAGGGGATTTTTTTGTGAATAAAATTGGTTAAATTAGATCAATGCTTTTTATTTTTCCATTAATTAATTAAATGGGGAGAAAAATAGAAATATCCATTTATTTTTTTCAGGGGCTGATGATTCTGTAATTTTGAATTTGGCAACTTGCTGAACTATTAAATTTAAACCCTTCTAATATAAAAAATAAAAAAGAACATGAATTAATAATACTTATAACAACAACAAGAACAAAACTAATCATAATAATTTGCAACTGAAAGAATACAATACCAAAAGTCCTTTCGTTTCATACGTCCAACTCTCAGTTCACTTCACTTCAACTTTTTCAAGAAATTCAGTTCATGCACTAACAACTCCATTCACCACTCCAACTACAAATGGTATATTTCTCTACTGTATTTCAGTACATCTACTTTTCATTTTATTCTAGAATGTCCATTCCATCTGTTTATCAATACATCCACATTCCAATATGTACACTTGTCCAACTATCGTCTATTTACATTTGTCATCTGTTCTTTGATGTATCCAACTATTGTCTATCTTTCAATACATTTGAATGACCAAATTATTTAATTGGATCATAGATTCTTATTAATGGTAAAAGCTTCAAATTTACGCAGAAGAGTGAAATGGTAAAGTTAGTGAAGAATTAGTTTTTCAGCTAGTGTACTGAATATGTTATTTATGTAACAAATGATCTACATGAAAAAGATGTAGATAATATAAATATTATTTCAGATTCTCCCATACATTGATGGAGTGAACCATGTTGCAAGAATTGCTGCTGAAGCAGATGTAGAAAATAATCTTGTGAAATCCTGTGTACAGAACTTGGTGTAAGGAAAATCATTTGTATTATTTATTTAGTAGTTCAATGGTTGAGACATTTTTTCTTTCATTATTATTTTTAATTTTTAGGTACTATGGAGTAGTAACAATGATTCCAATATTTCAGTATTCTAATGTGTATGCTGTGACCCCAAAACTTAGAAATCTTGCTGAGAACAAGGACTTGCAGGATAGGTGTATCCGTTACGTGTCAAAATCTGGTATGCAATTCCTCCCTTATTGTTGCTAAATGGAGTATCGAAAATAGCATGAAATCTTGAATGAATTGTCTCTTTCTTATACTTGTATGTGATAATCAAGGTGAACATTTCTAAAGAAAGTGCTTGCCAGCAATGCACAGAATTTGGTAAATGATTTGTTTTGGAACATTTTTATTTATCATTTACTGATTACATTTTGATTTTTTAGCTCTAAAGAAAATGTGTATTGTTCTGTTTTGACATTAATTATTTCATTCTGTATCAGTGAGACAGCCTGCCACTCTTAAAGATATATTCAAAATGTATTCTTGTATGACATATGGTACAACTATCAGGGATCTATGCATTCGTTTTAATCCTCATCCATTGAGGATAAATGAACGGAAACTTGTTCAATTTGGTATACTTGAAGGGCTGATTCGACGAATTCATAAAGTAAGAGTTTTATCTAATTTTAACAATCAATTGATTTTTGTTCAATTATTGAGAGAATTTTCTTTACTTACAGTATCCAGTGTATCTTTCAGATACTAGTCATAACAATGCTGGAGGATTAAGTCAACATCGCCATTTTACTGGTCAGCAGTCATTGGATGAAATTTGTTGTGCACAAGGTTTAAGCAGTCAGCAGTTAGAAGAACAGTTGGAAAAAGATCCAAATGTTGCTATTATCTGGAAGTAATTTCTAAATGCTTTGGTTAAGAATTTCAAAATGTTGGCTAACTGTGTAACTAATATGGCTTCCTCTTACACTTTGCTTTTCATATGAATGTTGTAGCTGTACTTGTCATGAGAAGTTATGATTTGTTGATTTGACATCCCCTCACTCAGATACTCACATAAATATTATTTATGGTGCAACGAAAATTATATATTTGCTGCTTCATGCAGGTTACCTCTTTAGAGAGACAGTCTTTTTTTAAGTAATAGAATATTAAGCTTGTTAGTAAGATTTATATTATACTTGTTATGCAATGCATTACTTTTGTAATTGTTTTTAAGTAACTGCATTTTATTTTGAGCTAAATTTATTTTATTTTGCATTTTATATTTTTTATAATGATTTTATTGTTTAAGTTTCATAATGTTGAGAGCAAACTATTCATCAGGAATTACTTAATACAGACTTTCTATTGAATTCTATTCAGTTTCAGTTCTTTCTATTTCAGAGAATTCTATTGAATGTACTTGGAATGTTTTCACCAAAGAACCTTTCAATTTTAATTTACCAAAAAAACATTATATTATGAAATTAAAAAAAATCAGTAATAAATTTACAAAAACAAATGTAATCTATTGAACTTTTTAAAGACTTGAAATTTATTTTGGAAGTTCAAGATTTTTAATTTTGGAACAAAGAAGTTGTGATTTCCTAAATTACACATTAATTGTATTAAAAATGAAAAATTATAGAATTACTCATTTGTTATGATGAAAATAATTTAAAAACATATAAAATGAATATTGTTACAATTTAAAAAGGGACCATTGTTTTACTTTTAATTGATGCATTTTTCTTTGAAGTGATTATTGGCAAAATCAGTTTTTAAGGCTTCAGAACCAGATGTTTGCCTCTGAGATCTTGAGAAATGACCTCTTTTTGAAAATTAAAAAATAAATATAAGGGGCCCGCACATGCTTGTCATAAATGTTGATTTTAACTGTCCTTGTTTCTGTGTTTTATGTTTAACCATATCCCAAAGATGCCCCATGATCGCTCACTCTTAACCATCTGAAATTAGTTGCAGCATCTTTGTGCTCAATTGACTAATCGATCCCTCCATGTCTTGGCTAGTTCTCGGCATTATCTTTGTCTGGGTGAGGGCACATTGCCAGTTTCCATGTAGATGATTGAACTTTGAACAGAATTTCTGAATAAATTTTAATCTATCTTAACAAGTACATCCTTAAAAACTTGATGTTTAAAAACCCTTGATGAACAGTAAAATGCAAAAACAAAAGGCTCAAGGTAGATGTGACTTCTTTGTTCTTACATTTGGTTAGAAAAATATGGTAGCTTCTATTTCATTAATGGCAATGTTTCAGTACAAAAACAATACAATTTATCATTTATTTACATATTTTGTGTTATAATATATACAACATAACATTTATTTATACATTTATTGTATATTAATCAAAGTTATTGTAATGCATGTGTGAATTGTTTTGCATTTGCATGGATGTTTATTCACTGAATTTATATTCTACTTTCATTTACATTATCTTAATCTACATATCATAAATTATGCAAATAGCATCAGAGAGTATCCTGATTCTCTTCTATTATTTTACTTTTAACTAGTTTGGAGTTCTGAAAATTACTATTCAACATATGCTAAATTAATTGATGTGTTCATTTTGAATGAAGAGGTCTCATAAAATTGGTTTAAGTCACTCGTGTTCTTGTAAACCAGTGCTTTGTGTATGGACATTTACTTCTTATGAGATAATTTACTTGTAATGTAGAATAGATAGCCAGATGTTATTAATTTCCCTTTCTTTTATAAGATCTGCTAGGGCGAAAGTGGAGTGTGGGCAACATCCTGGATACTCTTGTCTCCGGGGCAGCTCAGATCTAATTGATTCCAGCTGAACTTCACCTATAATTCTCTTTTTACATTTGCTGCCTTATGTCTAGAATTATTTCTACTCAATTATCGTATCATCTTGCTACTCATTTATGTTACTTATGGCCTATTGTTTTGGTTTAATCTGGCTTCATTTAGCTTTCCTGTTTAAGATTGTTGTAAAGACTTTTAAGTTATTCCAGTAATGCATCTTTTGCCCTCGTTTCTTGTACTAGTTTTCCATAATTCTTTATCCATCTGTGTATTTGTCCTTATTCTGTTTATCCCAAAGTACTTTTGTGTTCATTGGTAAATTGGCTTCACTCTTAATATATTTAATGACTTCAATTATGATTTTTCAATTAATTTTAGTAATTTGTCTGTTACCCTTATTTAATACATAAGCTGAGGCCTTTGAACAATTTCTCTATTGTCATTTGTTTCCTTTACCTTGCTTCTATTTTCTCATTATAGCACAGTCAAGAGGCCCCAATGTTTCATCTTGCCTCATACTTGATGAAGTTTCAAAAGTAGTGATGCCTTTCTTTGATCGTTCTGATAATATTTGTAGACACTTTCTTCTCAAAGATTAGTTGTTTTCAGTGTTGATTACCAATTATGCCATCTTTTAAGCCTAAAGCTTTTGAAAATAAAAAAAACATTAACTTATTCAAATAAGTTGTTTGTACGAAGTGCTTAATAGTATGTATGGCGTTTTGTTTCCCCCTCATTTTGAGAAGAAATTAATGTAATATTAAAAATATTGCACTTATTTGCATCATTTTTGTAGAGTGCAAGGATTATTGCTAAAAAGTGAGGAGTTTGATCTACTGTTCTGAATAATAGATCAAAGAAAATAATGTTTCCTGCAGCCTTCATTATTTCAGTTTTTCACTTCTTGTTATATCCTTGGAACTTTTTCGTTTTCAACTTTTAATTAATTTAATCTTCTATTTACATAAAATTAATCTTCATGTGTATGACTGCACTTTTGTTTTCAATACATACGTTACTTTATAGAATCAAGGGGAAAAAACTTCAAATTTACACCTATGCAAGTGCCATTGATTTCTTGGACTAATTTTAAGTTTTTGTGTTTTTGTTATCATCATCATCTTCTTTTCTAAACTTCTATTTTTGAACCAATTTTACATGTCAAAGAATTGTTCTTTTAATCTTAAAATTCTCTTCTATTCTGAAACTAAACATCTTTCAAGCTCTTCACTTATGTGACAAATTAAATGTGTTCCAAAATTATTCAATCAGAAATATGGTATGTCTGTGCATAGATTAGTAAGAAGTGCATTTGCTAATTGTTTTCCACAAAAAGGTTTACAGTTGAACTGGATTGAAAAATAACAAACATATCCCTACAATTCTAATGAGAATTATGGTACATGAACTTACATTTGTATGAAATATGTGATACAATAACAAGGCTAGTATATTTTTATGGATTCTTATGCTTGGCATTATGTAATAACCAACAATTGCAAAAGTAACTTTTGATTAATAATTAACACAAAGTTAATTTTTACACATGAAATGAATCTGGTGAAAAGATAAAATTTTAATTAATCAATGAGCAAAAGAGGAAAGATTGCATTGTCACTGCTGTTAATGTTACTGATCTTGTTATTTAGCTATTCAATTTTGATTGACTACATTAAGAAGAGTTCTTGCTGATTTTATTAATTGAAATGCTCTTTTGCATTAATATGGAGTTGGAGAGTAGCAGAGTACAAATTCCAACAGCTAAATGGTAATTTGTTATGAAATGGATTGATTCTTACAACATGATTTTTATTTTATTTATGTATTGTTACTCAACCTTTCTGAATACTTGTTGATTGTTTTCTTCTTTTGTACTGTCAAAGTAATGTCTTCTCCACTATTCAATTCAAAATGTTAAAAATCCTTGTTTTTTATGTTTAAAGTGTGACTTGCTAATTTGAAGCAAGTTTGTGTTTTTGATTTATAATAAAAGCAGTCACAAAATTAAACATAATTGTATGTTAACTGTTCGCAGATTAAGCACATTCACTTTTATAGTGGATCATGTTATTTTTAAGTCATGTATTTGTCTCAGGGATGTGAAACAGTGTAGCAAGTTCTATTAAAAAAACAAGAATTTCATTTAGCTTTACTGTTTACTTTCAGAAATATATTTTCTTTTGTATTACTGCCCTAAAAATAAAATTGCACTTGTAACAAGTAACGAAAATTTAATCAACAATTCATTGACTTTCTTTTGGTAATGAAATGCAAGATATTGTAAAACCCCTTTCATTTAAACTTTTCAGGAGACCGATAAACAAAGTGTAAAATGCAGGAGAGTATAAAGTACAGGAAAGTTGAAAAACAATAGGCTAGGTGATTATTTTCATTATGGCTCTGTTTTTACTTTCTTGGCCTTCTTATAAAGAGAAAGTATAATAGTGCACCAGAAAATGGTGAATCTCTTATTGATGGGCCCTGGTAATGAAAATGTGGATACATCATATTCCTATGTATAGTAAAGTACAATTTCTAACATGTGAAGTGACCCGAATCTGTTTTGTAGGTCCTTGAAACCACACAATCGATGGCAAAATGTCTGTTTGTCCATCAAACCGTCAGCCGATTTTCTTCAAAATTGATATTGGCTTTTGTTTTTCACATGTAGTAATTTACTCCATTTTGGATCAGAATTTATCCACTTTTTCTGCACTATGTATAATATGTACATAGATGAGAAAGTAAAAATATTGTAAAAAGATGGGAAGCACTATCAAGTTGTAAATAAAGGTTTTGACAGTACCAATGAAAAATGACGTAAAATGGCAGAACGTAAAAACAGGGTTTAACTGTATTACTTTTTAAATTTAAAATTTTCAATTCGATTTTGGTTAGTCAATGAACAGAGTAACATGGAAATTAACTGTTTTTTATTGAAATTTAATAGTGATCCTCTAATTAATTAACTACTATCCATTATTCAGATATCAGGCAGAGGCAAATATTTTTTATTTTCACACACAAATTGGCATGTATTTATGAACTTCAGCAAGAGTCCAAGCAATGTTTTACTTTCACTCCTTCAATAGTTTTGAACCAGTTGATGGGAAATGAAGTAACCTGCTACAGTTTGACAGGGTGAATAGTGAAAAAATATGACATCCAAAAGTGTACCTCACACTTGTGCGTCTACTGTTGCTTCATGATGACTTCAAACTAACTCGCTCCATAAAAGTAGGCAAAAACCATTGAAGTTAAGATGTGAAGGGATTCGAAGCAGATTTAATCATTCTTAACCTTTTAAATCTAATATATTTATTTAGTTCATGCAAGATAAAGGCAATTTCTTTACATAATTAAGTCACAATGCATTGCTTCCATCTGTAAAATCAGACGTCTTCTATGAATAAACATTAGTGAAACATTATTTTAAGAATTCATAAATGTACAAAGAAGATTTCACTAAGAGTTTAGATTGGTTGTTGTTGAAGTTGCAACTGTTCTAGAGTGAGCTGAAGTTCCCCAAACTTCTTCTGGAGTGCTTTCTCTCGTTCTGTTTGACGGTTAACATCTTCTGTCAGTGACTAAAAGAAAATATTGCAATCGTAAAACTATAAATTGTATGAATCAAAATATAATTAGTTCCATCTTTAAAATAGGCACCTAAAACATTACAATCAAAATTATATTATTTTTCAATAAAATCTGACAAAATACCTCCATTCTCCTCGGAATAGCAGCCATTTCTTGTTGCTGCAGGAACTTAAAGGTAGACAATTCTAGGTGTGATTGTTCAAGTTGCTCATACAAATCATGAAGTTGTTTAATCAGAGCTTGAGCACGTGACTGGAAACAAAAGCAAGTCTTAAGAACTGTAATAAACTTCATGCATCCTGTAGAGTTCTTACCATATTGAACACCTATCCATCAGGAATTTGGAGATGACATACTATATAAATGCTTTGAGCATACCTGGTACCCTCCAGTAAGGATTTTCAGTTTCTTCTCCATCTTTGCAGCCCTTTTCGCTTCTCTAGTCATGTGTCCTCTGTTTTGTTCAAGCCTCTTTTCAAGAGACTCAAGCCTATCCTTTTTGCTGGCAAGATTTGCTCGAGTGTAACGGTTTTGATTTGGTAAAAATAAAACCTGTAATGAACAACAAATTTAAAACAATGTGATTTCAAATAGAGACAACTCTTATGAAAAAAAAAATAGTCATCAGTCACTTCAAATGGTTTTCATTGTCTCATCGACATTAGCATATTAGTTTATCCCTCCCTCCCCCAAAAGAATTATTCATAAAATATCACTGGAGTCATATAAAATGTTCACATAACTTATTCCAAACAAACAAATTGATAAATACAAAATTGGTACCAATGGGATCACATGATAGGAAGCCAACATTTTCTGTGTAACTGTGTTGAATGCATTTTACCTGAGCAAGACATTCTTCCCACACCTGGGTGTAGGATTCTAGTGACAACTCCCCATGACCCATTCCTTGTTTCACTACTTCCATTTCTTGTTTCAGAAGTTCCCGAGACTGTAACCAATAAAAGTACTCTTACCATCACACACGAATACAGTTGGAATTGTTATCAGAGATGCTCAACCCTTGGATGTCTAAGGAGGTACATTTCATAAACCTTAACATGTTATGGTTTGTTTATAAACAATGTGTTGTTATCAATGACACAAGTTAAAAAGAGTGAACATAAATCTT